GCCGAAATGCAGCTAATTTGACCAAAGTGCATATTATTAAGATGCACCTTTGCTATAATTTCAAGCAAACAAATAATTGTTTTAGGTGCTTATCTTGTTAAATTTCCAAGAAACGCACAGCGACTCATCCCTCTGCGCGTTCCTACGGCCCACATTTCCAGGTCGTCAGCGGTGACGCGTAACAAACGCGACGCATCAGCGGTGATGCATAATAGATGCGACGTATACGGCGAAGCAACATATTTATGGATTTTTCCACTTTATTAGACAAATATGGACTGATGCGACTTATATGGCGGAACAACGTTGACGGCGGAAAATACGGTAAAAGAGCTTGTGAACTTACTGAACCTGTTGCTTTTGAACTTGGATGTCTCTGCAAATTCAAAAAATCTGATACAGTCCAATGTAGAACAAATTGACATATTTCTGATGATACAGTGTAGTACAATCAGGTTTTTTTTTTAAATTCATTATTTAATATTGCAGTCTAACTGCAACTTTTTAGTGGCCACAACAGGAAATGCAACTTCTCTCAATTTCTTGAAAATCAAGAGATTTAATGTTTTAAAAAGTTCTGGTTAAATGGGAATATTTTAACCCATTACAACGATATCTATATTTATTAAATTGAATGATTACATGGAAAAATATCCCTGAATAAATTAAATTTGTAATTCAATTAGAAAACATAATGGTGGATTATTTTACATCCTGCAGCATCAGGCAGAATGATGACATAAATAATGTATTTACTTCATTTAATTTACTTATCTGGTACTTTGCATCTTTAAATAAACCCAAAATAATTGTGAACCAAGCAAAAAAAGTCTATATTCCTTTTGAAATAATTTTATATATACCAAGCTTGCTGTTCATATTTTGGTCTAAAATAATTCCAAATCTTTCTTTTTTGATTGGTAAGATCTGTGGTTGATTGCAAAAATGATCAAAAAATTAACACTTAAGTGCAGAAAGCACAATTCCAAATGTCTGCCGGAAAGAATGCTTTTCCTTACGTGTAATTTTTGAAAAAAATATTTCATGTATAACAAATGTCAGTAGAAAATTGTGTCCATGCTTCATTCCACTGTGTGGCCCTTGGACCCCTAAATAATTTAAAACGGCCCTCTGGAAATAAATGCTGTCAACTTTTGTTCTACATTGTGGAGGAATTTAGACTGACTTTAGTATGGAGGGTGGAATGTGACAAAATTAAATAAATAAATAATTAAATGTATCATGTAATTATTAAAAATACATAATTAAATATATAAATTATTAAATCCACAATTACTTAGTTAAATGTCCAATGAAATAATTCTAAATTCTTTATTTCATGATTTATTTCGTCACTTTCCATCTTCCAGTGCCGTCATGAAATTATGTTAACTGTCAGCCTCATGAAACTCAGTGGGCGGGACGAACGCTGATCATGTGAAATCCATTGCTTTGGTCTGCCGGGGATTGCAACCCCTTTGCTGCAGTGATGGAGATGCCGGGGTTTCACCCGAGCCTGACTCTACCTTTCAGCTTCTTCGATTAAATTTGCCGCTTCTCGTAGCAGCTCTGGGACATTTTTCCTTGGTCTACTAGGACTAACGATGGTCCAAGTTGTTTCTTTAAAAAAAAAAAAGCGCATCGTCTTTACATTCTTAGTATAAACAAAGGTTTCATCCTTTTACACGTAAACACAATTACCACCCCCTACAGTTTTGGAATATATTTTATGGCCTGTGGATCAGTGTGGAGCAGCCAATCAGGTCTCAGGATCTGTTCACAAGCCGCACTAGTCCCGCCCACTGATTTTGATGAGTGAGGCTGACAGGTAATTTCATGATGACACTGGAGGGTGAAATGTGACAAAATTAAATAAACCATGAAATAAAGAATTTAAAATTATTTAATTGGACATTTAACTAAGTAATTGTGTATTTAATAATTTCATTATGTATTTATTAAATGATATATTGAATTATTTATTTAGGTTTGGCACATTCCACCCTCCATATTTTAGGGTGTTTTCTCATTTTAACCTGAAAGTGCAGTGAGATTCAGACATTGTTTGGGGGTGGAGAGGAAGGCGTTCTTCTTAGTAATAATTACAGGGTGTTTATGGTGCTATTGTGCAAATCACAAAAAAAAAAAATAATGCAAGAGAGGTTTTCTATGAATTGAAAGTTGACACTTTCATCATGCTCACCTCAACAAGAGGAAGTGGAAAATAAAAATAAGGCGGTGGATCAGATAAATTAAGTGTAAATTCTCAAACTGCTGCCCTGCTGCTCTCACAGCAGCCAGCAGAATAATGAATGCAGCAGCGGCGAGGTCCAATTCCAACGAGAGCAGTAAAAACAGATGCTATCAGAGGGAGACAAAGAGGATTAAAGAGAACGTGTCATTTTCTTAGGTGTGCTGACAGTTTGAGGCCAGCAGCACCCAGAGCAGCGGCACGAGCACACAACAGCTGTTTGTGAGCACATCAACACACACACTCCCAGTCAGTCCTGTGGTCCTCATTAAATCCAACGTGATTTGGAAATTTTTGTTGAGTCATGCTTTGCTGACAGTCTGACACAGCTGATGCTGATCGCTACCTCTTGTTTTCCTCCTGCAGCCATCCTCCAAAGCATCACCTTCTCTCTGATCCTTTTTTGTCCTGGAAGCCTTTCCTCATTATCCAACATTTGGCGTCTCGCTTTCTCCTCCTGCTCTAATCGTTTTACACATGTTCAACGAGATAACATCCAGTTTAGTATACGCGGTTCGACTCCCGTCTCTGCTGGAGCTCAAAGATGAACCGTTGGACTCCTCTGGGGTCATTAGGCTGGTTTCACCATAGCAACAGAAGCTCGACGCAGTAATACACAGGCAAATTTATATTACCATGCAAACATAAAAATTGCATTGCTTCTGAACAGTCAACAGTTTTGAATAGCCATTTGAATAAGCCATGTCCAAACTGCTAAATGTCAGAGTTTAAAAGCTTAATGTGGTGATGCTTTCTTATTGAAAAGACCATGCAAAGTGTTAACCTGTCTTCCAAAGAAACGTAAGATTTAGGATAGATACGATGACATAAATGCAACAGATTTGAGCTTGAATTCGGTTTTTAAAGACCATGATCTTGTTTTGTTTTGCATAATGGATATCTGATGCTGATGAGGCTCCGCTGAAATTGTTGAGCGGAATAAACAAAACCCAAAGGCTTTGCCACTGCATTTAGTCTCCTCTCGCCTCCTTAATGGATCAGCGAATTTGCATGACATTTTACTTAAGCAGCAAAGTATCTTAAAACTTGAATACACATCATTTTTAATCAAGTCTAAAGTCCAGAGGGAGACAAATGTCAAGCAAGTTAGAAAACTTCAGCTTTTTATTTGTTACATCTTCAGGAATATGAAACGCCAAAATGCTCAAAATTAAATAAATTAATTAAACCTTGTAAAATATTCATTTTTATTCTTTTAGTTCATAATTGTGTTTTTCATAACGGCTTATTTATTTTATAATGCCACTTTTTTAGCAGAATGACTTCAGCTGTCAATCAACGTCAGTGGGTTGGACCTTCACGCCCACTGGCTGATCCTTCACATCCATTAGTTTTCCTGAACACCTGCTCACTGGTACAGCTGGTGTTCATCTTGTTACATTCAAAGAAGTTAAATAGCGAGTCCTTCCGTGCGTGCTCCCATGGCACCGATTGATTTTTGGCATTCCATCACTTTTTGTTATGACACCTGCATCTTCTGAGAATGTATTCCTCTCAGTTTGATCTGCTAAAGTTACCCGAGCTGAACGAAGTTCATGCAGCTCTGCCATCCTTCATGACTGTTGACATAGCAAGTCGTTGCTAGCTGCTATGCTAGCTGTACCAGTGAGCAGCAGGAAAACTAATGGATGTGAAGGATCAGCCAGTGGGCGTGAAGGTCCAACCCTGATGTTGATTGACAGCTGAAGACATTCTGCTGAAAAGTGGCATTATAAAATAAATTAACTATCATGAAAGACACAATTATGAAATAAATAAGCCGTTATGAAAGACAATCATAAAATAAAATAAAAATGAAATTTTTTTCATAATAATGAGCTTTGATACTTACAGTATTTCAAAATGCTTTATTTATTTCTTTAATTTTGAGCATTTTTGTGTTCCATACAGGAAGGGTCCTAAATGTATACATATATGTAATGCATGTGTCATGTCAAGAACATTCATATAAGAAATCTTATGTCGGATTTACATTAAGCATTAAAAACTTTGCATGAGCCGTTTACATTTTTTTTTTAAATTAGTAGAGTCTAATAAAGCTAATAATCTAATATGCTTTGAGTGATGACACCTGTCTTATTTCTAAACATACAATTCCAGAAAAAAGAAGTTTATAGAAGAATCCCCTTGAGCCAAAAAATGAGTTGGGACAAGATTACAGAAATGGAGGAGGAGACAAACCAGGCAACAGATATAATGTTGAGGACCAGGTAACAGAGTTTACGAGGCAGGATGCAGCTGCTGCCGTGAAAAAAGTGGGGCAGCAAGAGGCCTTGTTGTTGCTGGTTTTATCAAGAAATACTCTGATCTTTAACTGGGAGGGAAACCGACTTGAACAAGGGATGTGTTACAGCTTGTAATCATATCTGGGACCTTCACCTAACTTTGTACTTTGCTGTTCATGCAAAGCCAACTAACTACACGTTCAGAGGTCTACATGTTCCAAAATACAGGCAGCCATACCCTGAATTAAATGACATATATTCTATACTTGTTAAACAAAAATCTGATTAATGGTTGGACAATTTTATTTAAATTAATACTTATTAGTTAATTTAAATATTCACCCCCCCCCCCCCAAAAAAAAAAAAAAAAAACCCTCTGAAGACAACTCTAAGCACACACCTCAGGGAACTAATGCTTACTTTGTACCACGTTTTTCCATCAAAATTTGGTTCAAGTACCAAGAAGTTAAAAATGTACAGCTAATGAGTTTTCTTCCTTTTACCTTGCATTTCATCATGCCGTTGACCCTCTGCTGCATGGACTGCCCGGCTTTGGGTCTGACCAGGATGTAGAGGGTTTTCACCTCAGGGCAAGACCTCAGCAGCTTCTCCACCAGCACCTTGCCCATGAAGCCCGTGGCTCCAGTGATCAGCACGCTCTTGCCGGCGTAGTACTCGGCTATGGTCGCCATGCCGTCGTCTGCGAGTCTCGTCTGTGCGCCTGCAGCCTGCTCTCCCAACCCGTCAAGGTCTCGGCCGTCAGATGGCTCCTGCAGAGAGAGGATGACAAACGTGAGAGATGGAAACCACGAACTTTAAATACTGTACCAGGAAGCATTTATTCAGCAACTATGAGCTTAAGTCATAAAACGTACAGCACAAAGCCAAGTCTGGGTTGTGAATCACAATGAAGCAAAAAGTACACACAAATATACAGCCTTTAAATGCTTTAGTTTGATTATCAGTGCCAAAAAGATCTTACTGTATGTAATTCAAAGTGTAAACTGGTGGTAAATTCTTATATTTGACCTTCAGAATGCCAGCAGCAGCAGTATGCAAATTATATGAATAATCATTCAGCAGAAAGGGAAACATTGTGGCTGCCTTCTGGCATTACGAAAAAAATAATCCCCAGATGCCCTTGTGAGTTTAATTGTACAGCTTTTTCACAAAAATTTGAAATAAAACATGACCAAACGTTTGCAGACTTGTGGTGTGATGAAGAACAGAGCAGCAGAAACAATCAAAAGTTCATTTAGTAGTTAGAAAAGGTCAGCGCTCAGTTCTTGCTCAGTGGTCCTCTGTGTGCCAACTGAACACAAACACACCGTTGTTGGTAGATGATGTCATAAAATAAATTCAAATCAACTCATTTTAGGATCAGTTAGTCTGAGTATCTATTAACAACTATAGCATGCAGGCACAAAATGCAAAAAAAAAAAAAAAAAACAGTGTTGTAAAATTCCACTGAAGTCACTGACAAAGAACAGGCCAGCACAAGTGGCTAAATGTGGCTTTTATTGCGCAATCGCCTCAAGTTCTGAGCTGTTGGGAGTGGGGTTTGTCAGAACTGTGCGTTTACTCAGGACTTTTAGACATTTAGACCTGCAGACCTTTTAACTGGAAGTACTTTGTCGCAACAACTCCCAACAGAAAGGGAGGAGAACTAAGGATTGAGTTACGCCCTAAACTCCCTTCGCACACATTGGTAATGTGACGCTGACTTAAGTAAATGTTTTCAATGCGTTACTTAACCCTCCCGTTATGTTGCGGGTCAAACTGACCAATTTTAATATAAAAAAAATCTTAAAAAAAAAAAAGTTGAAAGTATTTTTTTTTCTGTATGAAACTTCTGCTTGGGTTAATAAGCAACAAACAACCAAACTCCACCCGTATTGAGTGGACACTCTGCAGGGGACGAGGAAACGTAGTATTCTCTGCAAGGGAGTCCTAAAACATTACACACTGCAGATACATGTGATATAGTCACGGTCAGGAAAAAAAAAAAGAGGATAGTCCTGGAGGCGCTGGAACTCATCTTCGATCATGACAATGAAACAGAAACTAAATAAACAGAATTTTCTAAAGAGCAAGCTCACGATGGTTGCAGTGGTGTAGTCTATGTGATATGCGGGTGTACATGGTATACCCACTAGAAAAACTTGGTAATTTGAGTAGATCAACTTAAAAGTGGCCAATGACACGAGCATCATGTATCCTTGGCAATGATACATAGGCTCGTGTCATTATCAACACATTGGGAACATTTTATAGAGACATTAAGTTGGTTCAACCTGCTTTTTGTATAATTAATACTTCTGTACTTACTACTTAATACTTGAACATGTTTTGCTTCGATACCGTTTTATAAATTCTGTAAAGTTTTTAATACAAAGGCAACTGTTGTACAAAGTTTGTTGTACATTTATTCAAATAAAAGCATCAGAGAAATTTTGAAATGTTCAATATGCTTAAAAATCAAAATAAATTAACGACTACATTGTACTAACAAGTGTACTTTGGTTTCTAAGCATAGTATACCCACTGCAAAAATGTAAACTACACCTCTGGATGGTTGGAATGGTCTGAAAGAACAGAGCTGAACTCCCTGCTGGTAAAGTGATAACAGGGTCCCTCAGTCTTCCATGTTTGCCTTCACAGACAGCACCTGGTGTCTTATTGCCCTAAAAAGGGGAAAAAGGTTGTGCTCATGAGCAGCTTGCACAAAAACGCTGAAATCAGCACATGAGAGGACCAGAAAACAAGTATGATCCTCGACTACAATGCCACCAAAGGGGGTTGGATAACTTGGCCAAGGCCACGGGGTCTTACAGCACCAGGTGGACAAACCTTTTACAAGACAATTGATGTATCAGCTGATGACACGTTTTGTCATTTGGACAAAAATCTTTCCAAAGTGGAATATGTCCATGCTGTACGAGAGGCGCATCTTTCTAAAGGAGCTGAGGAAGGCGCTTGCGGTACAACGTATACAATGAAGACAGCACTTGCCAAGAACCCCTGCTGCTAAAGGGAGATCCAGGAGAGGACTACACCCAGTACACCAATGTGGGAGGCAAGTGTGTCTATGAAAGCAAAAAGACATGGTAATCATTTTCTTTCTAGGTTGCTGCTGGGGGAAAAAGAAAGAAGAGGTGCCAGGTTTGTAGGCCATCTGATGTCAAGACGAGGATGACGTGTGTGAAACGTGCTAAATTATTTTGCACAACGCACACTGTGATGACATGCCCCTCATGTGCTGTGTAGATGACAAAACATGTGCATCTTGTTCATTTACAGCGATTCATTTTTGTGTATTTCTGGGTTGAAACATTGCTTAGTGTTTGCCATCACAACATGATGACATATCACTCAGACTGTGGAGAAACAGACACACATGAAGTGTTCATGCTTCTAAGTTCTCGTTTTGTTCATTTCTGGATTAAAAACAATGAATAAAATTGGTTTTCAAATGGTAAATGGACTGTATTTATATAACACTATTCTATCTAATCAAGATACTCAAAGCTCTGCACTACAATCTGTGTCCTCATTTACTCATTCATACATCACTCTACTAGATCTACACAAAGACTAATCACAGCTTTATCACATTCGTACTCCGATGGGACACACATTGGAGGCAATGAGGGGTTCAGTGTCACGCCCAGTGACACTTCGGCATGCGACTGCTGGTGGAATCGAACTCCCGAATCTTATATTGGAGGACGACTGCTATAACCACTCAGCCACAGCGCCCAACACAAATCCTCATGACTCATTTGTTTTGATTTTAAATCAATGGGTCAAATTGACCACAAAAGAAAACAGGTGTTTCAAGTTTATTTATAAACATCACTGCTTGAAATGAGAGAAAAAAAAATAAAAAAATCTAAAAAATGAATTTTATGTATAACCATTATTTTTACTGTCTAAGATTTTTTTCCCCTCCAGTGGACATAAAAAAAAATCATGCCTTTTTTAAACAAAAAAAAGAGTGACTTATCCTCATTGATCTTTAAATATAGCCCTATTCGCACGGGATTAATTGCTATTTGTAATCATTATGGAGATTGTGTTGTTAAGCCCGTGCAAATTGGACATGTCAGTAATTCCATCCATCCATTATCTTTTACCCACTTCTTCCAGTTTGGGTCACGGAGTCGCCGGTGCCCATGTCCAGCAATCACTGTGCGAGGGGCGGGGTACACCCTGGATGGGTTGCAAGTCCATCACAGGGACACATAGAGACAAACGAAACAAACAACCATTCACTCTCTCCCTCACACCTAGGGACAATTTAGAGTTACCAATCAGCCTAACATGCACGTTTTTGGTCTGTGGGAGGAAACCGGAGAACCCGGAAAAAACCCACGCATGCACGGAGAGAACATGCAAACTTCACCCAGAAAGGAGTTTTATCAGTAATTTGTAAAGTAAAAATTCCTCCGCAAATTACCTACTATATTTTGCTGAACTCCGAGGTCCTGTGATAATACTAATCCAGTGCGAATAGGCATCTCTGTGATTTGGACAGAAATGGGCCGGATCCGATACGTAATGAGGCATTTTTTGTTTTTGTTTAAAATCATTTGGAACAATATAGAACAAGGCTATTTTAAATGAATGTGCTGCCCAATTCAACTTTATTTATATATATTTTTCTTTTTTGCTTCGGCTTTTATACTACTTTCTTCACCGCAGATGACAGGAGGTGTGGAGACGCACGCGTCATCAACTAACCCATCCATTCATCCATTATATTTACCCGCTTCTTCCTTTTCGGGAAGCGGGATGCACTGGTGCCCATGTCCAGCCATCACTGTGAGAGAGGTGGGGGAAACCCTAGCCAGGTCACAAATCCATTTCAACCGGCGGGTTAGCGGCCGCGCAGCTGCTCACGTGCACAGCTGGTGACAGCTGTCCATCTGAGCTGAACGTGGCTTTTTTTTTATACCTCTTAAACTGGCCGGTCGGACCTGCCTCCTCCTCAAGTAGATTAACACTGATTTATATTGTGCATTCTTTAGTTTTCTTTGTGCTGATTCGCAAAACCACATCAAAGCCTGAGACCAGCCCAGACTGCACATTAAATGGACCGGCCTGGTCATAACAACGCAGTGTGTTATCATATCCGGAAGATGTCTGTAAATTTCAGCTCAATCTCAGGCTTTGGTCATCCCGTGCGAATGTGCCACATAAAAAGCAGACGTTGGGGAGTAATTTATTTATTACATGTGGTCCTTGGGTAAAACTATTCCCGTGCGAATAGGGCTTAAGAGAGGTAAAAAAAATATAAAAAAAAACATCACTGCACTAAATATTGATTGAAAAAAGGTTAATAATGGAGCTAATAATCAGAAACAAAAATGTATTTGGGGATTTTTCTTTTGGTTTCTGACCCAATTGCATGATTAAACATTCCCCGGGTCAAACTGACCCAGGAACATGGCTGTTCTTCAGAAATGAACATATCTTTAGTTATCATGAAACAACTGTTACCTTGTATCCACGTGGGAACAAGTAAAGTTAAAAAATATTTATTACAGCTGGAATTTAGAGGCATGAAAACCTCATAAACCTGAGAAATACAAGCAAGCGGTTGATGTATTACAGTCTGAATGCAAAATATAATTTTACCGACAGTGAACTCTGTGCTTTTAAGCCATAAAAACCTTTACTCAAAATCACATGGTATTACATGCTATACACACACATTTCTGGCTTTATTACAGTTTAATTGTATTTTATTACCATACACCCCCCTTAT